ATAGAAAAACAACAGTAATTTCTATTTTATAATACCACTAAAAAATGTATCAATTATCTCAGTGATAATCCCAAGAATCCCTTCTGGAGGGGTCAAAGGGCGCCAAGGATTGTGACTTTCATTCTAATGAGATAGTTTTCCCTTCTTCTTTACAAAACAGCATCTTGTTGTAATTGATGCTTAATGGTCCTCAGTCATAAAGGACACATTGCTACTATATTATCACTCACTAATTTGCATTTGTACTTAAATTTTCACCATGTTTATGATTCAATCGTGTGACTGAATATGGGTGATGCCATTGGAAAGTACTCACAAGCACTGATAGGCCAGGCCTGGCCCAGGCTCTAGAGGACTTTCCCCAGCAGCTGACATATCCAGTTAATTCTGCGAGGGAAGGAGCCCCCAGGTTCCCCTCTCCAGGAGCACACAGATCTCTAGCCACACCATTACTGTAGGATTGGCTGGAGCCTTTGGATGGACTGGCTACTCGGCCTAGACCAGATGGGCAGGAAGAGTGACAAGAGTGTCCACAAGAGTGGACACTAACCTTGCTGGCCAGTGGCCAGTGACTGGCTGGGCGGCCTTGTATGTCTCCTATATTCTCTGCTCCTCAGGTTCCATATGGGAAATTAGAAACATTTTCTTCTGTCTCTAACATATTATGAAATACTATTGTTGGTTAACCATACTGACTCTTAGATGCTACAACTTAATGATTCTTTGGTTTGGGGCCTGAGATCTTACTTTCCATTCTATAAATAGTCATCAAGCAATCATTTGACATCTCACTTAATAACATTACGTCCATGCTGGTCCTGCTATGAATTGTCTTTCAAAGGTACACTTAATAACTTGCTCAGCTCAATGGTAATTTATGCTTATTTTAAAAGATGCTGATAAAATAACTGGACAAATTACAACCTTCTGGTCTTTAGTCGGGAACTTTTTGCATAACCCTTATGTGTGTTTCATGTAAATGTCGAGAAAAGCTCTTTTTTTTGTTTTTTTCAAAGAAAAAGCCTATATTAGGAGAAAGCTATCTCATTTAAGTGCATATAGTATTATATGCCATTTAAACAGATTTCTGCAGGGCCAAAAATAGAAAATGTACTGTACAGGTATTACATAACACCAAACTACACAGGTTATAATATGAAGGGTTAAAAAATATGTAAAAGCATAGAGGAAAAGGAAATTGAATTTTCATGATGCAAAGATGAAAAGAACTACAAGTTATTATTTTCATTGGAAGGGGAAGAAGCTTTGAAATGTAAAAAGGTTCATAAGGCAAAAATACTTTCCTATGTGATTGAGGAGGCAACCAAGCACACAAGTGAATTACAGTGTTACTTTTCCAAAATAATCCTAGGTTTAAGAATAGAAACAGGAAGATAAATTCCAGATTCACCTGGAAGAAGCAGATGCAGTTTTGGGGGGATTAAGAAGTCTTTTCTTGGGTTTAAAATGGTCAAATATGAGATATATCTATATGTATCTATCTAGAAAATATTTGTATTTTCTCTTAATGTAGATTATTTTCTTATATGTGAATGAATGGATGATAAGTCCAACTGATCATGGCACTCAGTAGTAAATATTTTATAAAGGTAATATTTGTGGACATGACCAGTCACTCATAAACAAATCTCATATTTCCAGAACATTAGTTCCCCTTATTGACATAAGAATGCTACAGAGACATTTAAGTCTCTAAAGGAATTTCTGCTCCTGTACTTCAACTTTACAAAAATTATATTTTGTTTGTAAATCATAGGTAAAGTGTTGCCATGTCATTTATAAATTTAATAACATTGGGTTTTCACATTTTTTAAAATTGCCATTTTATTTTTATTTTTATTTTTTTTAATTTTATTTATTTGTCAGAGAGAGAGAGAGAGTGCACAAGTAGGTGAAGTGGCAGGCAGAGGCAGAGAGAGAAGCAGGCTCCCCGCTGAGCAAGGAGCCCGATGTGGGACTCGATACCAGGACCCTGGGATCATGACCTGAGCCGAAGGCAGCGGCTTAACCCACTGAGCCACCCAGGTGCCCCTAAAATTGCCATTTTAAAAATTAGCACTGCAGAGGGAATTTTCATTTGAGATTCAAGATAAAAAACAAGCAATGAATTCACACGTGTCCAGTTTATATAGAGCGATGAAGCTATACTGGGTAATTATCTGATAAATTCAAGTGGTCATAAAATTCAGTTCAAATCTAAGCCAAACATCCAAATGAGTATCTGTATCAGGCAGAATAATGATATTTAAGACCTAATCCCTGGAAACTATGAGTCTGTTACATTATATGACAAAGGCGGATTAAGTTAGTAGACGGAATTAGGTTGCTAATTAGCTGATTTTGAAATAGAGAAGTTATCCTGGATCATCCAGATGAATTCGTTGTGATCACAAGGGTCCTTAGATTTGGAAGCGGGGGGCAGAAGAGGGAGGGTCAGAGTCATTCAATGTGAGAAGGATTCAACTGGCCACTGCTTGCTCTAACAATGGAAGGGAGTCATGAGCAAAAGGGTAGCCTCTAGAAGCTGGGTGAGAAAGGCAAGGAACTGAATTCTTCCCTGGAGACTCCAGAAGGAACACAAGCCTGCCAACAATGTGATTTTAGACCAGTGAACCCCATTTCTGACTTTTACCTCCAGAAAGATAAGATAGTACATTTATGTTGTTTGAAACTGCGAAGTTTGCCATGATTTATTACAGCAGTAATTGAAGATTAATGCGGTAACCATTATGACCCAGACCAATTAGTCTAAATTCTCCAAATACCTTGGCCAGTTTCCATGTACCACATGCCATACACACCTGAAAGCACAACTGTGAGAATGAGAAGCAACTGTGCCCGATAAACACATACTGATTTCTGTATCAACTTGAAACTTCATTAGCAAAATAAATTGCTACTCTCTCTTATCCAGGAAATAAAACAAGATTACATTTTATAAAAGACATAAGTGTTCTGTATGCTATTGTTAATGCATAGCTGGTAATAATTCTGAAGACCTTAAGCATGACTTTGATATCCATCAACAGGATTAGAAACACTCGAAAGAAAGAAAGAAAGAAAGAAAGAAAGAAAGAAAGAAAGAAAGAAGGAGAGAGAGAGAGAGAAAGAAAGAAAGAAAGAAAGAGGTGAGTGACCCATAGCTGGAGATCACCAACCAAGGACCTAGCCTAGATGTGGCAGACGGTTTTCTTAGATTTAGCAGGAAATTGGGTGCAATGAGCTTGAGGTCTCTTTCTGATTCCCAGTTTACAGGATTTTTACTTAACACAGAGGAGAAAATATTGACAGTGAAATTGTTGGCAGGAGGAGATATTGAAATAACCCCGTTAGATGTAAGGAGCTGACAGCACGGCTCCTGGGAGACTTTTGTATTATTATCTGATCAGTTCCAAAGTGAAATATCAATAAGATTTAAGAAGGAAAGAAATCAAGAAAGATCGACTTAAAACAGCAATTACAGAACTATATGATCGTTCACTAAATGTTTAGAAATGATGAAAATCACAAGTATTGAGTTCAGAACTCTAATGTACAGGTCAAGAGGACTTTTTTTTTTTTACTGAAAGAGATTATTATATGACATTTATCAGTTGAAAAGATTTTTTTCTTAATAAACTATGACAACTTTCTTAAAATCTAAATCAAATCAAAGCACTCAGTATTGAAAAACAAACAATAAAAACAAAGCAAAAACCAAAAACCTCTCTTTAAATAAAACGCTATATGTTCAGTGTATTCTCTTTTTATATCAACAAATACTGTTTAGGTGCTATGCAGGCAATCTACCCTTTTTTAAGCCAACAGAAGAAATGTTATAAAACTACCTGATGATTGTACTAATAGGTATGACTTCATAAGACCATAGCAATTCTTACCCAAAATGAGATGGTCTCACAGAAGGAATTTATTTGTTTATAAAAGACAGTTTATTTGTTACATCTCTTTTCTGTGCATGACTACCTCACATGCTCTCCTCATTACCAGAGCACCTAAAGGACCTGCTTGCCTAGAAAGATTAAATACTGGAAGGCCTAACAATCTCCAGCATCCAGATCATTCTGGTCTTCTCCACAAGGCACATCCACTTAGGGCAAGATAATGGCACCTCGGAGGTCGGGCCACTTTGACAGGATGGGGTCCTCTGTTTGCCTAGAATATATATACTTCAGCAGTATTCTTTTCCTAGTCCTTCCAAACCAACACTCCTTCTCTTTTCTGTACCTCTCAGGACCAACTCCACACCAAAGGAGGTTGGGGAAGGCAGGGAGTATTTTTCACATTGACCACAAGCCAAAATGAGCTTCACTGTGATGAATCCAGAGATTTTGTGATCCTTAGAAAGGTATGGAAGATATGAGTGACTCTCTGCAAATAATTTGCCGAGCACTGGTCAGGTCCACAAATGTCTCCTCACTGTCATTTTCTCCACTTAAGATTTATTCATCAGGGGCTTGAGTGCTTTGAGATCTTTAAGACTCCCTATTAAACTGCCAATACTTCTAGGGTAATAACTTGAGAACTCTAACACAAACATCACTAAGGACACAAGGGCTGGTCTGGAATTGGGGACCACCAAGGCAGATTTAAAAAATTACAAAGCAAAATGTTGGCCTTGAAAGATAATTTGGGACTTATATTAGAGGCATAATTTATTAAAAGTCTTGGCCCTAAATTTGACTATTCCCCAAAGGGAAAGTGTATTACCTAAATTTAACATTACCAAGAGACCAAAATATATAGAGAGAGATACACCATTAAACTGCAAGTATAAAATACTGGTAATTTATATGTTTCCATAGTAAACAACCAAAAATAATAAAATAAACTCCAAAATTAAAGAACATAAGGAGTTAAAATTTTATCTTTGAATTTTGACACTCTCAGTTATTGGAGAAAATTGTTTAAGAAATCTCTTCTGCAAGATTAGAACAGCATAATACATTTTTTTTTCAGTGAATACTAAATGGTAAACTTACATCGGAATTAAATCTCAACTGGCAAATGTTGCATGATATGATTTGCTTTCTTCGATGAGGAAGAGGAACCCCGAATGTATGATTTATTACAGCTTTCTGAATCGGGTCCATCTGTAATGAGAAAGAAAATACAACAAATAGAAATAAAGCTTGTCAGTTCCATTGGAATATTGCCTATTTCATTAAAGAGCCAATCTGTACAGCTTGAATCTACTGCTCACATTATAAAAAACATTTTTATTCTAGGAAACAGCATTTCTACTTTCTTGGAAAATAGACAATAAGCTCAAAGCTCAGTATGATAAGAAAATGATAAAAATACCCATTAGAGTTTGCATACTAACTGTTTTTCTCATTTTCAATCAACAATTGTCTCAGTTTGATAATCCTAAAATATAATTAAAGTTTTATCAAAACTCAAATTATTGCAAATGCCAGCAATCTTACACAGAAGTGTGTCTATGCCACTGCCCCAAAATGGACTTATAAGTAGACTTGGTCAGATGAGTGGTTCTGAGAATAAATTATGCGCCATAATCCAACATTAACCTTATGCTTCTTTTCGTTATCTTTTCTGTGTTAAGAATATAGTATACAAATCTTACTTTCTAAGAATTCAAATGCATGGAGCTATCTATTCATTCAAAAATCATTTATGACCATTTAATATAGCCTGCTCTCCTATGGACTTACTATTTGAGGTTCAGAGAGTCTGGACCAAACCAGTTTATCTTTCTCCATCCCATATTCCCAGGATAGGTCAAGTGACACCAAAGACATAATGTCAGCAACTTGGCTCTGATAAAACTCACCAGCTTTGTACTACTGTCCACATCAGTGGTTCTCAACTGTTGGAGTCAGATAAAAATTTTGATCTGCTTCTTAATACTGGTGCAACATCTTTGCTTATCTGTGTCTCCTAAGGTGGTGATGAAATTCATAAGTGATAATTCATAAATCTACCTAATCATGAAATCTACCTAGTGCTAAGCACATTATAGTGTTAATAAATGTTGGCTATTATATTTTCTCTCTCACAGCGCACGTGAAGATCAGAGCCTCACACTCTAAATCATTGTTGGCACATGACTAATTTCTCACATGGCCAAGAAACATTTCAGATAAATCAAACATTACACATATGGCCATGACTTCTGTTGAATGCCTGCAAAGTTCAGAACTTTAACTCTCATCAGACATGAAGTTCTTCTGAGAGTTCTCAAAATGGGTTTGGATAGCTCAGAAATAATACGACACTCAAAAAAAAAGCCAAGAATGTGTCTGTGAAATGATGCTCGAATATTCAGCCTCTTCGATACATTGTAGTTTATTAATTACCCTAAACAAGTCATTGATAAATTCCACCTCTTGTATATTTCAAATTATCAAACCAGTTCATTGATAGGCTGTCTTCATAGTAAGTAGGAGGAAGCTTCTGTCTACATAGTCACAATTTCTATGAGGTTGTCTAAGCACTCCTAATGCACAATAAAAATAATGCACTCAGTATTTATTAAAAGTGTCTTCTATGTGCTAAGCACTAGGCTGGGTGGTTTATATATTAAACAGTTATAATGATCAAGAAGAACTCATGGGTGTAATCATTTTTACCTTCCATCATCACTTGACATTTTTTATTTGATGTTAATCCTTTCCCTGATTCTGGAGGAATCTCCGCTATCCCTTATTTTTCTGGTCACTTCCAAGTATTAGTATATACTAGGAACCCCTTTCTCCTTACTAATGAATTTTATCATACTTAAAAAATCATATCATACTTTTTTAAACTAGTTTTAGGTATAATTTATATGTAATAAAATTTAGCAATGTTAGGTGTAGAATTTGATGAGCTTTGGCAAATACACACAGTAGTAATATTACACAAAACATTTCCATCACCTGGGAAGGTTTCCTACTGTCCCTCTCAACACCTCACTCCCACACCCGACTTCTGAAATCACTGGTCTGCTTTCTGTCACTATTTTTTTGCCCTTTCTTCAAGTTCATATAAAGGAATCACAGAGCATGTGTGTTTTTTTGTGCCTGACATTTTTATTCAGAATAATTCTTTTAAGATTCATCCATGCTGGGGGAGCCTGCGTGGCTCAGTGGGTTAAACCTCTGCCTTCAGCTCAGGTCATGATCCCAGGGTCCTGGGATCGAGCCCCGCATCGGGCTCTCTGCTCATCGGGGAGCCTGCTTCCCCCCTCTCTCTCTATCTGCCTCTCTGTGGGCTTGTCATCTCTGTCAAATAAATAAATAAAATCTTTAAAAAAAAAAAAAAGATTCATCCATGCTGTTGCATGACTCAGTAACTTATTCCTTTTTATTGCTCAGTAGTATTTCTTTGTATAGATAAAGGACAATGTGTTTATCCATTTGTCAGCTGATGAATATGTGAATTGCCTCCAGTAAATTGTATTACCTTTTCAATTCTTAACACACAGTCTAAATAAAGCTCATTCCTAGGGGCACCTGGGTGGCTCAGTGGGTTAAAGCCTCTGCCTTCGGCTCAGGTCATGATCCCAGGGTCCTGGGGTCGAGCCCCGCATTGGGCTCTCTGCTCAGTGGGGAGCCTGCTTCCTCCTCTCTCACTCTGCCTGCCTTTCTGCCTACTTGTGATCTGTCAAATAAATAAATAAAGCTCATTCCTAAATTCAGTATGGCATCTTAATTCAGACATTAAAAACTAACTTAAAATTACATTCTCTTTCTTAGACTAGACCTACTGTCAGTAGTATGAATAATAGTATGAAAAGTCACAGGCCATAGTATACAGTCCTTTTCTCTTTATATATTTTTCTTTCAAGTCCCTTACCTCTACCCCAGCTAATCTTCCAAACCTGCCTCCATCCCATCTCACCCTCATTTCCTTAGAGACCAGCGGAAGATGCAGAGGCTTGAGAAAGCCAAGAGTCACACAACTATGTGACTCTGGGATACTCTAATAGCCTTCATTTTGCTTCCCCAGATCACTTTTATAACTTTTTAAAAGATGCCATCACAATGCTGCTTGGACAACAATCACAGGGAACAATAGGGGATAATTTGCCTTTTAGCCAGAAGCTAAAGAAATATTAAAAGCAGAAAGAGGTCACTGACTCAGAGATAGTTGCTTCATCATATGCTACTGCATCTGCTCGGTGCATAAATGGGAACCATTTCTATTTGGGGATAAGGTGAACTATGTCTATAACCCATTTAGGAATGGGTTATTATAAGAAGCCCTCTTATAATGATACTATAAAATAAGAATAAATTATGCATTTATATTAAAGATGTTCTCTGAAAATGAATAGTGCTGAATTTTTATCATATATTAGTGAGCAGCATATTATTTTGGTCTTTCAGGAACACTGGGAAAGCAGTCACCATATTCAATCCAGATTTGTGTAGGAGGTGTTTTGGAACTAGACACTTAATGCAAATGTGGCATATTCTCTAGATTTAATTCTTTTATTTGCATTGAACGATGCTCTGATCACTGTGAGTACAAAAATCAAATTTCAAGATGCAAAGTAGTGTATTTTTCTTCAGAGACAATTTTATTTCCCAGTATACTTAAAAAAAAAAAAACACCCACTTAACTGAGTTATATTTCGAAGATGGATTTAACAAACTATAGTTACACCAACAAAAGTAATTCTCTTTATCATTTTAGAAATCCAGTACAATGAAATGGTAAGTTTAATACCTTTATTAATGAGCATGAATCATATTCACCTGTCTAATATATACATCTACAAGTATAAGTAAAACCATTTACAATAAAGAATCATGAAAGGACAAAATCTCAATAATAACCACTTCTATTGTTACATAGTTAATTAAATGATATCACATGGTAAGTAACTAAAAGTAGCACCGGTTATCAATCAAGGGGACACACACGCACACCAATACACACACACACATACATAGCCACTTTGGTTATTTTGTCAAAACATATCATTATTTGCCATTATAATCAAATATTTTGTTTGAAAACAAAGTCATATGTTTTGGTTTTACCCACAATAGGTATGCACTGCCAAAACAATGATACCTTATTGTGTGTATGCATATTAACATTAGGAGTTTTTCCACAAAATCAGTTTCAAGTGATGTCAATGGGTGTAGGTAGGAAAAAGTGTTCTTGGGTCAAATATATTGCAGGAAACCTGGATAGTACAGCCTAGACATTCACAGCACACAATAAAGTATTAAATTCTCTGAGATGACCTGTAATAAAAACATCTGTTTTGAATAAATAATTTCTAAAATAATATAACCAAAACTTTGGTTTTCTTTGTTTTTAAATTTAGCATCCTTGTTCAGGGCATACAGTTTGGAAAATAATGATCCAGTAATATAAACCAACATAAGAATATGAATGAAATGTAAAGCCTTTAAAAGAAAGTAAAGAGGGCGCCTGGGTGCTCAGTGGGTTAAGCCGCTGCCTTCAGCTCAGGTCATGATCTCAGGGTCCTGGGATCGAGCCCCGCATCGGGCTCTCCGCTCAGCAGGGAGCCTGCTTCCTCCTCTCTCTCTCTCTCTGCCTGCCTCTCTGTCTACTTGTGATCTCTCTCTGTCAAATAAACAAATAAAATCTTTGAAAAAAAAAAAAAAAAAAGAAAGTAAAGACACCAAACTAAAAATGTAACACAGAGAAATCAGATCCATAAAAGCTTTGACACATTTCGCTTAACTCAGGCAGCCCAGAATTAACTAAATTAAATGGTAAAATCTTCCTGATATTGTAATACATATTTATCTAATTTCTGAAGTGGGGTATTCTAAATACATTATCCAGCCCCCTAAACAAACAAAAGTAAGAACGATACACTACCTATTGAAATGCTGACCCAAACTCTAGCCTAAAATTCAATTTCAAACTCAGCCTATGGCCTTATTTAAAGCCAAATGAATATGTTTTTCTTCATTTCAAGCTTAAGGATCTTTGCATTTCTATCTCAGGTCTTGCTTTTCCCTCACATCTCCTCTGGGCATTCTGCTAAATTGATTTGTAAATGAGTATACAAGGGACAGCTACAGCTCAAGATTCCTTCTCTAGGATGCCCATTGTATTTTCTGAGGATGGAGGTTAGCCCTGAGTTTACCTTTCCTACTCT